ACAACAGTGGCACCATGCAGTATTTGTCCTTTTGTGACTGAGATATTTCACTCAGCATAATGTCCTCCAGGGTCACCCATTTTTAATAATATTGCATGAGCTCCTTGTTTTTCAATGCAGCATAGTATTCCTTTGTGTGAATATACAAGAGCTTCTCGATCCATTTGTTTGTTGATGGGCACTTGGATTGTTTCCAACTCCTAGCTACTGTGAACAAAGCTGCGATAAATATGGGTGTGCATAAAGCTCTTCATTCTTGCCTCTAAAGAGCACTCTGGCTGCACGCTCATCCATGGGATGTTCAGTGTCTTCTCCCACAGCACACCTCAAAGCATCAATTCTTCTGTCATCCTTATTCACTGTCAGGTTCTCAGATGCAGAGCAACTGATCAGAAAGACTATGGCCTGAATCAGACGCACCTTAGTCCTCAAACCTACATCATTACTCCTCCATACTTTGGAAAGGTCTCTAAATGCAGACATTCCCATCTCAGCTTCTGACTGCTGGTACAAAGGATGTTAATTGTGGAACCAAGTAATACGAAGTTATTGACAATTTCAATCTCTTCTCCATCCATCATGATGTTGCCTGTCAGTCCAGTGGTAAGAATCTTTGTTTTCTTGACATTGAGATACAATCCATATGGAAGGCTGCAGTCCTTGGTCTTCTGGAACCAGTGCTTCAACTCCTCCACACTTTTAGCAAGCAAGGTTGATGCCACATTTCTCTTCATAGAGTCCAGCTTTTCAAATAATTTGCTCAGCATACTGATTAAATAAGTATGGAAAGAGAATACCACCTTGACACACACCCTTTTTAATTTTAAACCACACAGTGTGTCCCTGCTCTGTTCACATAACAGCATCCTGGTCCAGCTAGAGATTTCACATGAGCACAATTAAGTGCTCTGGGATTCCCATTTTTCTCAATGTCAGCCACAACTTGTTAAGAGCCACACAGTCAAATGCCTTTGCATAGTCAAGAAAGCACAAATAGACATTCTTCTGGTATTCTTTACTTTCAGCCAGGATCCATCTGACATCAGCATGATATCCCTAGTGCCACAGCCTCTTCTAAATCCTGCTTGAACTTCTGGCAGTTCCCTATCGATGTACTTTTCTAGCCATTTTTGAATGATCTTCAGCAGTATTTTGCTTGCATGTGCTATTAATGATATTGTTCGCTAGTTTCCACATTCAGCTGGATCACCTCTCTTGGAAATGGGAAAAAGTATGGACCTCTTCCAATCTGTTGGCCAGACAGCTGTCCTCCAAATTTCCTGGCACAGACTATTGAGTGCATCCAAGGCTGCATCTATTAATTGAAACAAGTCAATTTGTATCCCATCAATTCTTGGGGCCTTATTTTTTTGTCAGTGCCTTCAATATAAATTCCACTTATTCCTTCATTACCACTGGCTCTTGTTCATATGGCACTTCTTGAAATTTTTCAGTGTCAATTAGTTTTTTATGAAACAGTGATTCAGTGTATTCCCTCCATTTTCTTCTGATGCTTTCTGGGTCATTCAATATATTGCCCATGTTGTTGTTTGTTGTTGTGTGCCATCAAGTCACTTGCAACTCAGAGCAACCCTATGTACAGCAGCTCTAAAGCCTGCTCTATCTTAAGCCAACCTTATTGTTCCTGACACCCCTACCTCCATTACGCGAGCCACTGAATAAATCCATCTCATCAAGGGTCTTCCTCTCCTGCACTGTTCCTCCATTCCAAGCATGATGTGCCTCTCCAAAGACTGGCCCCCTCCTTGCAATATGGCCAAAATATGTCAGATGAAGCTTCAAAATCCTTGTCTCCAGGGAGCAGCCTGGTCAGCTATTTGTTGTTTCCAAATTGACAGTACATAACAGCAATATTTCATCTGTATACTGAGCAAATAATTTGAAAAGCTGGACTATCTGAAAAATAATGTGACATCAAGCTTGGAGGAAGACTCATCAACAACCTATATTGGGTAAATAACACAGCCTTGTTTGGTGAAAGTGAAGAGAACTTGAAGCAAGTGTTGAGAAAGATCAAAGATTATGGCTTTCAATATGATGACACTAAAATATCAAAAATACAAAAAATCTTCACAAATGGACAAATAGAAAAAGATTCAAGCTGACAATGACTTCATTATATTTGCAACCTCAAGCAACATTCATGGCAACAGCAGTTCAGGCATCAAAAAATGTGTTGCATTGGACAAACCTACTGTGAAGGACCTCTTTGAAGTGCTAAAGAGCAGGGATACTCAGGTTAAGCCTAAAGACCATATGATCCCAGTCATGGTATTTTCAATTGCTTCATATGCATGTGAAGGCTGAACAACGAATAAGGAAGACTAAAGAAGAATTGATGCATTAGAAATGTGCGGGGGGCGGGGGGGAGCTCTGGTGGCCTAGTGGCAAGAAGCTGCACTGCAATCCCAGAGGAACACGGTTCGAATCCACCAGATGCTCTGCCGGAGAAGGAGGTGCAATATCCTCCTGTACCAGTCAGATCTGATTTGACGGTACACGCACACAAAATAAAAAAAAAATAAATAAAGAAATGTGCAGGGGAAGAGAGCTGAACATACCAGACTGTCAAAAGAACAAATCTGTCTTGGAAGAAGTGCAACCAGGTTGTTCTATAGAGGCAAGCATGATGAAATAATATCTCATACACTTTGGAAATGCTGTCAGGAAGGGCTGGTCCCTGGAAAAAAGATGCCAGGCTTGGGAAAGTAGAGGATCTATGAAAGACCCTCAAGGACATGGACTGGCACAGTGTCTCCAATGACAGGAAGCACAGATGAGAACATGAGGAGAGGGCGAGGCTCCAATCTGCTGACCAAAAGGCAGCTGTGAGTGATAATCCACCTAACAACAACAACAAGGCAATGTAGTGTTTGTTATGAAATTATAAAGAGGAAAGGGGAGGAAAGCTGAGTGCTATGAGCTGTACTATGTATTAGTATTTTCTTTAATATTAATTAAAGCACAACAAATGCTAAAGAAGGGGAAATGTGTATAAAAATGTAAACCTAGCATGAGAAATATTTAATACAGATAAAAATAGCAACTACTTTCACATTATTTGCTCTATTATTTACTATGTCAATACCATAATCATCATGTGTTCTTAAAAAAATTAAAACTGCTTGGGAGATAGGAAAATCAGCATCTATTCTATATAACATGGTTATTGCTAGAATAAGCAAGCAAGCACACTTCGGAATAATTACCATTTGCTGAATGTGGGCATCTTGAATTGCTCTGCGTTCTTCATCAGCTTTTTGTTTTTTCTCCTTTTCATGCTCAAAAAAAATTTGATCAGCCTTTAGGATATCTAACAATTGGTTTTTGGCATTTATTTTTCTTTGTTTTTCTTCTTCTTCTTTATGTTTCATCTGTGGGTTAAAAGGCAAACAAAAAATTAAAACTAGCTTAGCAACCAGAGCTTTTTACCAAGGGACAGAGCTATAAAGCTCTGCGTGGTCAACCATCCTGGAGCAATGCAGAATGGGAAAACAGTGCATGCCTCATTTTCTTCCTATGTGGCTTCACACACTCCTACCCGCTCCCATTCCCCAACTAGAAACTGGCAGAGATTTTCAAACCAATATATAAATTATCTTCCTATATTGTTGAAATCAAATTGTTTACCCCTTAACATGAGTAATCAATAACAATAAGAGATGCAAAATAATTCTGTTTACCATATTTTGATTTTGTTGTATTTTCTGAATAGAAGAAAACATTCAGTAAAACATCATAGAGTGATACTTAAGACTAATTTCTAGATTTAAGAAAGTAAATGAAAGAAGATAAAAGTAAGATATTCTCATGGTCAGGAGATATTTGCAGGAGAAAGATTAATTGGTAAGATGTTTGTAAACAATCCAATTTAAATGTTATGACATTTGAAATGTTTTACTTGTAGGAGATAATTTGAAGAATTAAGAAATACAAAATACAATAGGGCCATTTTGACTTGATTTTAAAAAAACTTTAAATTAAAACTCTATACTACAACAGTAATCTCTGCATTTCAGACAACTCTGGAAGAGTAAATTTTTATCCATAAACATCTTACTTGTAATTGATTCATTGAGTCATCTGTTGGAGTAAGCATTATCTGAGTTCAAGAATTCAGGAAGATAATTTGTATATTGTTTTGAAAATCTTTTTCAGTTTTTAGTCAAGGTTTTAGACAGGGAAAATGCCAGTGTAAAGGGCTTAAATTTGTATTTTATTATTACAATTAAATGATGTTTACCACCATGGCTCTATAATCTGCAATTGCTTTTAATTCTGCTTTATTTTTTTCGCATTTTTCGGTTTCTCTTTTTTCCCTTTCAGCTTCAGCTTCTGCAATATCTCTGGCAATAATCAAATCTTCATTGTCAAGTTTCTCTTTCATTAGTTCACTGAGGAAGTTATTAATTCTTTCTCTTCTTTCTTCCATTAGCCTATAACAAAACAGCCATAACTTGTCAAATTTTCATGAACAGATTGATTAGGGAGCCAGTATAACTTAATTAAGGGGGTTTGAGATATTTTACAGTCCTCTAAAATATAATATGCAAGAAACCCAATTGTTTCTTATATGTTGTTGTAATGTGCAATGGAGTTGCCTGTGACTCATAGAGATTCTCTGTACAACAGCTCTGAAACTTGTCCTATCCTGAGCCAGTTTTACTCACTCCAATTACACCTAACCCACAGCCCCAGTTACTATATCAATTCTCCTACTGAAGAAGAAGTTGAGTAGAGTTGAAGAAGCCTTTGAGTTGTTGTGTTGTGGAAGACCGTAGACTATATCATGGACTGCTAAAAGAACAAATCAATCTGACTTGGAAGAATCACAGCCTGAGTGCTCCTTAGAAGCAAGAATAGTAAGACTTTATCTCATGTACTTCAAGCATTTTTTAAGGAGGGGTCAGCCTTTGGGAAAAAATATCACTTTCAGAAGAGTAAAGGGTCCGTGAAAGAGATGAAGAGCCTTAACAAGATCAACCGACATGCTGACCACAACAGTGAGTTTAACAGAACAGAGACTATGAGGATGGCACAGGGTAGGGTGACTGATAGGTCACTCACTATGAGTCCAAGCTGACTGGACAGCGCCTACCAACAACGTCATGGTGAGCTCAAGTGTTAGTACCTGTCAAAGGGCTGTGCCAGGCTCATTATCTTCATAGGAGCAGTTTGTCTCTCGAGTACTGCTCATGCACAGAATTATAGCAACACTTGGGCTCTCACCACAGTTCCAACAGGGGGGGAAATCAGTGTAGAAGCTGGTTTTTTTTTTCTATATTTTATTAATTTCATAAACATTTACAGAGATTTTGGGTTTCCATTCATTCATTGCTGCACTGTTCTCTCTACCCTCCTCCCAGTTTGTTCTTGTCCAAATGCCACAGTGCTTGTCAAA